AACTTTTCAAAAACATTTGTGTCTTCTGTCACCCTCTTTAAGTATGTATATTATGTTTATCTAGTTGACACTCCATTTTTTAAAATGATATATCTTATATATCAAAATCGTATTTAATTCTGAGAGTAATGGGTCAAATTTATCTGATGTAGTTCTAACTTCACTGAAGTTACATTAGGAATGATCCTGCTCCAAATTATTAAAGTAGTAGTAGAGAATATTGTGTTATTGTTGGAGATGCTCAGAGGCCTGGATGCACAAAAGGAGTTAGATGCCTGAGTCCCTGTTTCAGGGTAAAGGGAAATGGAATCTTGCCACCCTGCTTCTATGGTCCCTGATTGTGTAGCAGTGCATGTGCTTGTTAATAATGTGATGCAGACACGTGGCTGCTGTGATTGATCACCCATAAAGTGCTCATGTGCAGTCCTCCATGCCTTCCAGCATCCTTCTTGTTATGTTCTAATCTACTGCTGATACTTATGGCATGGTCAATGACACATCTGTCTGGTTTTCAGCTCTCTGGTCCCCATCATGGCCAAGGCACAGAAGGTGGCCCCTGCCATCCTCACACATTCTGGGAGCTGACACCCCTAGGTTGCCACCGTCTCTTCCAGCAATCCCCTGCAAGCCTGTCTTTGCCTGCTCCCTCATCAGTCTCCATTTTTCTTGATGTCCTCTATTCCCTATCCATGTCCTCCTAGGCATTAACCTGGTCCTTGAGCTCCCCCCAAAGCCTGTCCTTAGCACCTATGCTCATTTGTTGAGTCCTGGCTCCCATGAGCATGTTGGCATGGGCTTGCATGAAGCCATTAATGACCTTAATCTCTGCTTCATTGATGTTTGCTCTGTGCTGCTTATGCTGTCCCACCTCCCCAAGGTGCCTGGTGGCTGCTCCCTCACTCTGGCATCCAATACTTCCATGCTGGGGCGCAAACAGAATGTGACCCATGCTTCAGCTTTTATCGTGTGTTCCAAAGTGGTGCTTTCCTGTGACCTCATGACCATGTAGGTCTGTGTTCAGCTGACACCCAGTCCTCACTCAGCACTTGGCAATCATATAGGCGCCTTAGTCCAGCCTCCTGTGTTGAACTCTCAGACATAGGTGCCTATGCAGTTGCCGGGGCTCCACCTTTGTGTGTCTATCTCTTATGGATCAGAGGGGTAGCCATGTTAGTCTGAATCTGTAAAAAGCAACAGAGGGTCCTGTGGCACCTTTAAGACTAACAGAAGTATTGGGAACATAAGCTTTCGTGGGTAAGAACCTCACTTCTTCAGATGCAAGTAATGGAAATTTCCAGAGGCAGGTATAAATCAGTATGGAGATAACGAGGTTAGTTCAATCAGGGAGGGTGAGATGCTGTGCTAACAGTTGAGGTGTGAACACCAAGGGAGGAGAAACTGCTTCTGTAGTTGGATCGCCATTCACAGTCTTTGTTTAATCCTGATCTGATGGTGTCAAATTTGCAAATGAACTGGAGCTCAGCAGTTTCTCTTTGGAGTATGGTCCTGAAGTTTTTTTGCTGTAAGATGGCTACCTTTACATCTGCTATTGTGTGGCCAGGGAGGTTGAAGTGTTCTCCTACAGGTTTTTGTATATTGCCATTCCTGATATCTGACTTGTGTTCATTTATCCTCTTGCATAGTGACTGTCCAGTTTGGCCAATGTACATAGCAGAGGGGCATTGCTGGCATATGATGCCTTGCCACACTGACATAATAACTCCACCTCCACAAGAGTTGTAGCACTTATGTTGGTGTAGTTATGGCGACACAATGTCTGGGTAGACACTGCCTTCCTTACATTGGGTGTTGGCTGTCTTGTCAAGACAATTGACAAGAAAGCCAGGAACTAGAGCAGGGCTGCCCCAGGCTCCCCACTCCCAGCTGGGCAAGAAGCCCAGCTTAATCTTCAGAGAGGCAAGAAGCCCAGGCGGCTGACCCCCGCTCCTGGCTGGGAGTGAGGAGCTGAGAGCCCTGGGGGGCAGGTGAACTCCTTATGGGGAGCTGAGAACCCTAGCTCTCAGCTCCCCATACTGCCCCTCTTCAGTTGGTGGAAGCACTCCTGGTAAGGGCACACCCCACCAACAGGAGGGTAGTGTGGACATCAGCCACCATAGTAATTACTGCAGTGGCTGTAACTTGACCTAATATAGGTCAGCATAGGGCAGTAGTTTAGACATGCCTCTAGTTTCTTTGAAAGGACCCAAGATTGCAGATAGCCACCAATAGACTAGGGTCCAGATTCCCCAGAGTTCAGCTCCCATTTAGGCATCTAAATGAAGCGGCGAGATTTTCAGAAGTTCTAAGCACCCTACAGTTCTCGTTAAAAGCAGTGGGAGCTGTTAAATGCTGAGCTCTTGAAAATTTGGCCCTGTCTCCTTTTTTAAAAAGTTTATTCTTTTTCCAGCTCTTGTACTGCTGTCAGAGAGTCTGAATGTCTCTTACCATGTGTACAGTGCCTTGCAATAAGGGCAGTTAATCTTTATTCAGCAGTCTTTCTTTCCTTTTTTATCTTGATTTTCTGCTGCTTTGCAGACTTGATCTGTTTTCCTTGTCTAATTAAATTCTTTATTTACAATTTTATTTTACAACTGTGTTTTACTTTTGCTTTTCAGTTTGAATACTTTAGAGCCTTTCTAATCAAATTTTGTTTTCCACTGGGGCTTGATGTTATTGCATTTATCTTTACTCTGCGAGCTGTCTACAAAGTTTTGACTTACAGTATGCTTGTCTTACGCCCTTATTTATTTCGTTATTAGTCATTGTCACAGCACACTGTATATTTGTAAATTCAAGTAGGACTTTCATTTTGACTTGCTTAATGAATAAGCTATATTATATTTACAGGTAATAGTGAAACTCTTTCTGTGCGACAGTGGTTGGACTTAAAATAGTGCTTTATATTGAACATCTATTTGAACACTTTTCTCAGATATTGCACTTATGATGTTTATTCTAGAGATTAAATATTCATGTTATCAACAAGGTTTTGCAGTTGACTTCACCTGGTAATTGCACTTCTCTGCACAAAATAAGCAATAGACAAGAAGTTACTAACTGGCACGTTTTAAATTTTAATTAATTTTTTTGTGGGCCCTGCAGAGCTTGGATAGGCATTTTCCTTTTCATATGTACATCTAAATAAATCAATACATACACAAAATGTGCCCTTTGGTTAGAGCCCAACAAGTTACCATGACAACCAGATCTGACTGCCTGGGTTGGGAGGAACAATTCATTTATGTTTTCTTCATCTTCATCACTCCATACAGAAGGCGAAGATTAAGCCATTTTGTTCAGATTGTATTCAGTTTGGAGGCACTGGGGACTGGGAATCTAGGGTGCAGAGGGAAGAGATGGGCCAGGGTCAAGGCCATGAGGTATACATCACTTTTCCCCCCACCCTATACACACACAACTTTTCAATACATGTGCTCAGGAGATAATGCAATCTAGGGCTGTATTAACTTCTGAGTGGAGCCCCAGTGGTCTGTGAAAGACTTCTTTTATGTCTGGACTGTAAAGGCAGCAACCACCAGGGAAACTTTGTTAGCACAAATCTGTCATTGACTGCCATATTCAAAAGGAGAAAAGGTGATTCTGACCTCCAGCATTTCTTCTGTGATCCATGCTCCCTGATTGTTCCACACATATGGAAGAAACCACTGGGAAAGCCTAGTTTCCTAGCCTTTATGCAGGCTTTCCAAATAGGGGACATCTTGGCCTTGTATTGTCTTCTATTAAACTTCTTTCAGCTCTTGCAGAAATTGGTTGCATAAGATAGAGCAACCCACATTCAGCCTTATCTTACAAAACCATCACTTCTTCAGTAGATCATCATATGTTTCACTAATCCTGGCAATATTACAAAAGCTACATTTTCACATAAATTAAGCATTTTAATTAGTTTCTCTCATTTGTTATACCCATTTAGATATTTCTTCACTTCTTTTTCTTTAGCAAACGTGGATGAGGCAAGAAAATTAGTAGTCTGTTCGTATCTGAATTAATCTGACTGTTTTACAGTGTCTCACAGCAGTAGGGCAGCACAGAAGCCTGTTTTCAGACAAGACTAAACATCTCAGACAATAATTTATATAACTCTTATAGAGCAGGGTGTACAAAATGTGACTCTGAACACAACTTCTTTTTAAAAAGCTTGTTATCGTCATTGTGAAAGGTACCAGTTTGGCATCCCTGGGATTAGTAAATTCTTCTCTCTAGAAATCAATGAAGGCATAGGAAACAACACCATTAGCTTCTCCAGGTTGCCCTTGCAAAATGCATAAATTGACCAACTTCCTGTGATTTTAGGTTAAGGTAAAGACTATCTTTTTGTTGAAGAATACCATATAAAGTGTACATTACACACAGTGTCATACACTTTTTCCTCTGATGGCTCGCCAGACCAAAATTTCAATGTCCATATTTGTCATAAGTCAGATTGTGGTAGTCTAATTTTCCTAAAGCAGTATTCGGCCCTGTTCCTGCAAAGTAATAAAGTTAAGTACGTGCAGGATGGGTGTTGTAGTGTCCTCCACAATTCAGTGGATGGTTGCTTTTGCTCTTCAGCTAATCAAAAATCTCATGCCATCTCTGCTTTTCTTTGGGCATATGGCCAGGGAATTTTGGTTGAAGGGGTTTGTGTTCTCCACTGTATAGCTGACTTGGGGTTCACTGTTGCATTCACAGAGCTACGGGATGTCTAACAAAAGTGCCAATGTTAAAAGTTCTAGCTTGGTATGCAATGTCAAATGTATAGATGAGTGGAGGTGGGAAAGTCAGAAAATTCCAGTTACAGCCAACTAAGGGTTTTGAAAATTTGTTATGCTATTCTGCTGAGTTGTTTTATTTTACTTGGTTTTATTTTATTTTCATTTTCAAAAGATGTGGAAGAAAAATCTTAATAATTTTTAGATGTTCCCAGTACAAAATCAACATTTCTTTAATGTGCGCATTCTTAGCATGTTGAAATCTGTATGTACTTCTTATTTATGCAGATGAATTAATTGAAAATATAAGTATTGATGTGGCTCAGACATCAGAAGCAGTTGACACTAGTATATACAGCCAGACGGTGGATAAATCACCAGAAGAAATTGAGTCAGAACGGAATCCTGTTTCCAGGGAAACATGGTTTGATTTTGAAGACTTCTCTACTTGTTTTCAGTAAGGAGCAGAGGTTTTGTTTTATATTCCTTAAAATTTAGATCAAAGTAGTGAAGTACTGTAAAAAATGGCTTTGTGAAAATTGCATCTTAACAGATCTACTTTCTTGTGTGTATACAGAGTCATGTTGGCTTAATTTTAGGAGCAAAAATAAATTGTTGGCATCTTTTACTCCTCTTAGTACTGCAGAATCAACACAGCAAGGCAAAGGCAAGCTGAATTCTATTGGTCCTGGTGCATCATCAATATAATTCCCAATTGCTTATACCTTTGCAAACCGAGTAAAGGCAGTGGGATTGTACAGCTGTCAATGAAGGTCTAATATGCAGAAGCTTTATTATGGATGAGAAGGCAAGAATTCAGCTTAAGGGCTTGTCTATATTGTGTAATATAGACATGATTGAACCTGCTTAAATCAGTTTAGCTTATGTAAGAATAAGAATAAGAATTTAAACATTTTAGATTGATTTAGTTTCACAAGTGGAACTTTTATAATTTAGACCAGGCTATAGATGCTGGGTTGTGTTTATAAGGCTATAAGTTAAAAATATATATATATGTTTTAACTTGTACATGATTCTGAAATCATTGACGGACAAAAAACATGTAATCCAATGTGCCATTTTTACAGTCACTTTTCAGAGTAGAACTATACTTTTAAATAGAGCTTTTCAGTTATTTTATTCATCTCTGTGCAGAGGGCTAGCTCAAGGTATATTCACCATTCATGTCCCACTTCAGCAATCTAAATAGACTTCACTATCTGGGTGTGTCTACACTGGAGCTGGAGATGTAATTTCCAGTTTGGGTAGATATACCCTCATAAGGTCTGATCCATTAGCCTGCTAAAAATAGCAGTGTATTCATGGCTGTGTGGGCAGCAATATGGGCTACCACCCAAGTACAATCCAATCCGAGACCCTAGGAATGTGCTTGGGGTGGCTAGCCCATCCTGCTGCCCATGCAGCTATGGCTACACTGCTATTTTTAGCTGCAAGCTCCTAGTGAACATAAGGATGGCCAAACTGGGTCAAACCAAAGGTCCATCCAGCCCAGTATCCTGTCTACTGACAGTGGCCAATGCCAGGTGCTCCAGAGGGAGTGAACCTAACAGGTAATGATCAAGTGATCTCTCTCCTGCCATCCATCTCCACCCTCTAACAAACAGAGGCTAGGGACACCATTCCTTACCCATCCTGGCTAATAGCCATTAATGGACTTAACCTCCATGAATTTATCTAGTTTTCTTTTAAACCCTGTTATAGTCCTAGCCTTCACAACCTCCTCAGGCAAGGAGTTCCACAGGTTGACTGTGCGCTGTGTGAAGAAGAACTTCCTTTTATTTGTTTTAAATGTGCTGCCCATTAATTTCATTTGGTGGCCCCTAGGTCTTATATTATGGGAACAAGTAAACAACTTTTCCTTATTCACATTCTCCACACCAATCATGATTTTATATACCTCTATCATATCCCCCTTTTAATCTACTCTTTTCCAACCTGAAAAGTCCTAGCCTTTTTAGCATTCATAGTGCTGGAAATTACACCTCCTGCTTCAGTGCAGACATACCTTCAGTCCTATAGAGCCTGTATCCAAAGTAGGGAAACCCATTTCTTTCAACCCTAGACGTTTTATATCTTGAAAGAAACCTGGAGATTGTTCCTTATTTTGGATGTATTCTACAGGCTATCCAAGTGTTGAGCCTCCTGTTGGTGTTATATAAACAAATAACCTTGTTTGCATTTGCCCCTGTTCTTGCTGCATGTTGCAGTGTTGTGTTTACCTTTGGTATCTTTACAGACGTCGGGATTTCTTAATATGCAATCCTAGTTATCTGCTTGGGAACCTATTTTTAAATGTTCTGGGTTTCTCTGCATTTTTTTAAAGCTTTTGGCTTTTAGCCTCACTAATATTTCAGTTATTTTATTTTTGTAATTGATATTTCTTTGGGGAGCCTTCACTTTCCACTCATTAAAAACTGACTGGAAAGTCTCTATGGCAGCGGTTATTGTCATAGGTGGTACATGAGGGAGGGCTGTAGCTAGTGCCTGAACCTGCATGCTACCTGCTACCTGTATGGACTAAACACTATAGAGCACTTTAGAGTTTGGGAAGGACTGCCTGTCTCGTGTTAGGGAGCACCAGATCAGGAGCAAGAATCCTTCAAGATACCTTTATTGACGCAGAGTCACCAGGCAAGTGATTTCCTCCTTCCATTCTGCAACACTGTTTCCTATTCGTAAAGGGTGTAGTTTAGTTACAGCTCTACTTAGAGTCAATGGTGAAATATGAACAAATTTTTAAAAGGTTTGTTAGTTGAACATAGAGTAAATTACTGTTAGCCTTTTGAAGACCACTGTAACAAATTTATATGCCAAACTTGTCAGTTCCTTTTTCTCATTTCTAAAAAGAATGAGAGTTACTTATTTTTAGAACTTACATTTTTTAACAATGATCCCTACTGATCCTTAAAGACTTTATTACACAGAAATTTTAGCTGCCAGGCTAAGATTTTTATCCTGACAGCCAGTGATGTTGAATGTCTTTCTTTGCCTAATGTGAACATAGGTCAAATACAGAGAACTTGATATGGATGTTAAAAATTGGCATCAATTTTGGGGGAGGAGGAGCAGATCAGCAGTTACAGAATTTGTGTATGTCAAGAATGTATCACCGCCTCAGTAGGGACTTTGAATAATCTGAACTCTTCCATTGTATAAAACCCTGAACTCTGGTTCAGATTCTGTCATCAGTTAAAGTTGAACTCAGTGAGATTAACTGGGTCAAACTGAGGTCACAATGTGATTCAGTTTCTTAATCGTTTTCTGGCGAGGTGTGGAACAGCAATAAATTTCATAGAAGTGTTAACAAATTGCATAAAGGCAATCATCCCCCATAGCGTTGCCTCTGCTTTTTCTATAGTTTAGTGCAGGGGTGTCAAACTCAATTGCACAGGGGGCCAAAACTCAAAACTCGCGGGACGAACATTATAACCATTTATTTTACCGCCTAAATCTTT